TTGTAGATTGTTTTCCTCTTTGTAGAAAGCAATCCGTAACTGGAGCAATTTAACGAGAGGGACTATAGTGAACAAAAGCGTACTTACTATTCGAATAAGTCGTATACTTTCGAGTAGTTTAAACATTTAAACTATTCGAATCAAATTGTCAATTTCGAATATAATCATGGCTGTCCAAAGCACGGCGTTTTCACCTTATGCGGCCCGCTACATGTGTCTAATCTATCACAATTAGGCAAATTTGTTATATTTTAGTAACATTATTACATTATTTTATTTTTCTGGTAGACAACTAATATTAATAGTGCTAATATTAATAGAACTGTAAAAGATAAATCATTGAAAAATTAATAAAACTAAATTTAACGTTATCGCCGTATTTTTTTTATTCTCCGGAAAAGTTATAAATGTTTATATTTATTTCTGCCTATTTATCCAGCCTATTCAGTCATTTGTATTGGCCCGCAATCCTATCTGGTTTGAACAGCCCTGAGCAAGATTGTCGTCCATCGTGTTGCTTTAAAACTTTAAAGTCATATTAATCAGAATACTTGCTCGAAAAATATCTCTTACAAGTTGGCCTTGCTCACAATATAATCTGCACTCTTTAGTTTATATAAACTATATGGTACTATACAAACTGAAGACTTGAGAAATTCTCAATCCTGAAATATTCCCGTGTCCTTAATAACTTCTTTATAGCAATCTTCGTTCCTTGAGAAAGTATTAAGTTATATACTAAAATGATATAGTGTTAAAAATAAAATGAATCGAAACGAGCTGAGTGCTATAAATTATCAGTGATCATTATCATTTCCACAAATGTGCTTTTATTAAGTTCAAGTCATGAGAAACTGACTCATAATTTTCGCCTTACATAGTTTTTAGACCAAACTACTCCTTAGTTTTCTCGTAATTATCATCAGTAAGTTCAGTCAGATACTTTCATACGTATAAACATGGACATCATCGGAATGTTTTAATGAGTAATATAAGAAACCTCCAATAACATTGGGGTTGCATCTAAACGAAAGTTAACGTACATAGTCGCCTCGTCTGCAAAAATATATTGTGGGTCAAATAACCGGGGTAATGACACATGAGTGTCAACTTTTTTGATAATAACATGGATGAAGAAATACGTGCATAGTTTTTAAAGATCAACAAATTTCACTGTAGTCTTAATGTGTTTAATTAACTGACACTCGCTTGTAATGGGGATCGATAATGAGATTTCTTTAAGGTGGCCTAGACCGGACAGAGGTTGTAGTGTGATGGTTTCTTGAAAGCTGAATTTATCTTAATCGTTGCGTTAACTTAACTATAACATTTGATAACTCATAAGATGTTACCATTATTTATGTATGTATATAATTAATTTACTATTATCACTGAAGCTGAAGATACGCGGAAAGGATTGAAACGATTCTTTGTGAATTTCTTTAATATAAGGAAGCAAATTATTGTAAGTATGAAAATGGGGAAAAATGCGTAAATAAAGGACTTTCAACTCGTTTTGTAGTTATTTCTCAAAAAAAATAATTATGTATGAAGAATTCTACAAAAGTTTTTCTTGTTGCTAGGCATAGTTGAACTTCAAGGAGAAGTAATTGGATATTACTAGAATAATATTTATGACAGCTGCGATTAAAAAAAAAATGGATCTCATAAATTGCATTCGCCATTAGAGAGGTTATTCAGGTTAAATGCGAAATAATAAACCACCAAATAAAATTTAATATTTTGCTTATTTATATCATTTGTATGCTTGTGCTTATGCATTACCTTAAAATCCTTCATATTTTGATTTACTACTTAAATCCTGGGTCCGAGACTACAACAACACACTGCAAGCCACAAATCACATCTGCAAAAATATGAAAGAACAAGAAGCAGTTCTAAGCTGGAAATTTATGGCATATTTTCATAAGCAATCATATTTAATATTTTTCCCTTCGCCGACCAGAAGATGTTTGCAAAAAAGAAAAAAAAATATCTTTTAAAAAAAATAAGAATCTAATTTTACACACAAATCAAAATTAAATTTAAACAAAGACTTCTTCATGCTGAAACAGTGACACGTCCGCAGACAAACGTACCTCGGTTATTGGGGTAGGGAGAGCGTGCATTTATAAAGAAAACTCTAAGTCAATCCCTCCCTGTTAGTTGCATTGTTTTTCCATTTGCAGAGACTGCATGTTTCTGCCATCTCATAACTTGAGTTGGAGTTGGCATATAATTTGTGATCTTACGTCCTTGCGTGCACCCTACCCTCCATGTTGTTAGTTTTTTCCTTATATATAAAGAAATGCAATTATTTCGCAAGGACCCTTTTTATGATTACTGTGGAGGATACTACCCGCTTCAATTGCATCAGTACATTTGCCAAATAACAAGGAATATGTTGAGGTTGTGTCTTGCGTTATGTATTTTTTCCTTTGTTTTTTATTATTCGATTCTGATACACTTTTTTTGTATTGCAAAAAGCGCCTTGGGTGAACCAACATTTGAGATTTATTACAATAGTTTTGGGAATGAAATATTATTGAACAAATAGTTTTGTTATATAAAAAAATTATAGGGCACTCTTGTGTGAAATTATTTTAAAATAAACAGTAGCTGACATCTACAAAGTCGAAACTTCACACATACATAATTGCACACAACAGGACTTCACGCTTTACTTATACGCCCATTACTATCGCAGTCTACGGCAAGGATCGTATTACGTATCCTAAGCTCTTTTTATTAAAAAATTAAGAAAATTTTTCGTTTGAATTAAGTTTTCGATTAAATTGATTGTTAACGTTACAGATAATCGTATTATATGCAATATGTGTATATAACAATATATAATATTACACTATTTAATATATATATATATATATATATATTATACATATATCATATATATGACAATTTTCTATTTACTCCTCAAGTAAACAAGTCCGTACAGGTCACATTTAATACTAGATGATTTGGTTGCGCGCCTCCATGAAATCAAATCTCCACAATTACCATAGGCTGTGGAAACAAAATACTTCCTAAGTATACTTACCTCTATAGTAAATTGACATTGAAAACTCACAATTTTAAAACGCGGACAGCTTTGGATCTTAAACTAAGAAATTTATTTTGTTTCCTCGGTCAAAATGCTTAATTCTCATTAGAGAACTAGTTTCTGATCTATAATAGCGTGCTAAAAACCATTGGAAGTAATGGACTACAGCCACGCGGAACCGCGGAAGATGCAAATCTGGCAACAATCCAACGTTTTAAGTACAAAACAACCAATAACACAAACAGCTCGGGGTCATAACAATTTAAGAAGTAGAAACGTTTCAAATTAAAAATAACCATAGAATATCAGTGTTTCAGTATCAGTGATCGTTGGTAAACTTTACTATCATAAAATATTAACTAAAAACTTAACATTAGAAATTTTCTCTACATAATAATTCATAACAAACAGAATGATATAAACCGTTTTTCATATCAATAGCTTTTACATTTGTCCTATTGTCCTTTCTATCTTCATACAATGCCTTTACATTTCAATAAGTTTGTATGGACATATGTATATAAAAGAACATGTTTAACAAGTTTCTGATGTATCGCTCATATTAAAAGTGAATCTACTAATAGAAACCATCTGGCTTTTTGATCTACATTCTATGAAATCTCTACAATGCATAAAATTTCTTAAATTTCAATTGGGCTGGAATATTATTTTCCACATATTACCCGCTACCTATTACTTTTTCTTGATAGTACTGTTATAAGGTCTAACTCTCTGTTAATCAGTCTATTGTTTCACTTTATTTTTTGTCTTGTTAATTATACTTTTTTTAATATGTAAGCATATGGGCTAATAGTATGCAGATACATATATACTATAAAAACATCAATTCTTTAACAATTTAATCTGAGTTTATATCAGTTTGAAGTACCTAACATATAGAAAGACTCGAAGCAGAAATAAACTTTCAAAATAAGCACGTAGTATACTTACTCTAATGATGCTTTTAGGTTTTATAGCAAAGAGGATGAGATTTCAAAACACGTGCAGAACACAGAAGTTTCAATGAATGAAAGAAGTACCTAGCTGGGCATCTCATATCAGATAAAGATAAAGTTTAATTCTACAATTTATAAAGGAAGTTGGACTAACAAAAATAATTTAAGTCCATGAAAAATGCAGAATACTTCTCGAGGTCACAATACAAGTTTCCCAAACATAATAACAATACATAGTAGCATCAAATATTCATTTCATTAACCCAAAAAAGAATTTAATAATTTAGTTTTATTTGATTTCAGTACAAAAAACGAGTATAAAGTTTAAAAAGACTTTAAAAGTTTACTTCCACGAACGGCCGGATCTACGGACAAGGAAATGTCGTTCACCACCCCGCAAAGGGATTTTACAAGCAGGCTTCAGAGGGTTGTTATAAACAGACAAATTGTCTACTTATTTCGACTTCTGTGCGAAAAAAAGGATCTTAATGTAATTAATTTGCCAAATCAAAACTTTATCAAATGACATCATATTGTACGCATGCACATATTAACCATATATTTTGAGTGAAGATTACTTATAAAAATTGACACAACTTAAATAAAATATTAATTATATTAATTAATCATAATTAATTATAATCATAATAATTATAATTTATTATAATCATAATAATTATAATTTATTATAATCATAATAATTATAATTTATTATAATCATAATAATTATAATTAATATAATCATAATAATTATAATTTATTATAATCATAATAATTATAATTTATTATAATCATAATAATTATAATTTATTATAATCATTATAATTATAATTAATTATAATCATAATAATTATAATTAATTATAATCAAAACTTTATCGAATGACACAATGTACTCATTCACATATTGACCATCTATTTTGAGTCAAGATTACTTATACAAATTGACACAACTTAAATAAAAAATTAATTATATATTTAGTGTTGAGTTGAAGTAACCGTTTTATTAGATAAAGAATTAAAGAACATTATATTCTGCAAAAACAAATATTTGTTTATGCAGTGCGTTAAAAAAAAAAAAAGTTCAACAATTTACCTGAGTTTAACAATCTGATTGAATATTATAATTAGATTAAAGGTTTACTATGGCTTAAATAACACACTTACATTAGAAAGTTAATTCATAAAAATTCTAATAACAAAAAGATTGTTTCAACAAATAATTTTTGCTATTTCTTTGTGTTCATGTTGAATAGTTTAAATAATAAATTGTTTTTAACTAGTTTTGCATATGAATATTCATAAATATGAATAAACATATCTACCGATATCTGCGTTCTTCGTAGTCATCACGACTTTTAGTGTGACCACTACGTTCCCGTTCATGTTTGCGCTCATGACGACTGTGACTTTGACTATTGCTTCTGCTGCGTGAATGATGCTTGTGCTTACGCTTTTTCTTGCTTTTCTCATGATGTTTTTCACGTTCGCGACTAGAGCGTCGTTCTCTTTCTTTGGCAGGCGAGGAATATTCATGACGGCGGTAACTGCTGGACGAAGCGGTTTGATAATAATCTCTTTCCCGCTCCCGTCCTCTACCACGATCTCGATCATCATGTTCTGTGCGATAATTAGTCAAAGGTGGATAATCACGTTCACTATTTATATCTCTGCCACTAACTGCACCACCGCGACGATTATAGCTATCATCGTTATAGCTATTATCTTGCGATGCTGCTGCCACGCCACGCCCTGTACTTAACTGGTGCAAAGTTATTTGATTTGTACGACAATACAGCTCTAGTTTTTTTTCAATTTGTTTTTGTATTGGCACAGGAATTCGCGGAAATAGTGTAGAAAACCAATCAATTTTGGTTAGAAACTGATAAACCATTTGACCAATCGTAATCATCTATGCAATGTAAATATATTTAATAAATTTTGTATAATTGTAACAAAAGCATGTCATACAATAAACTCACCTGCCCACCACCGGCTTTAACATCAATTTCTTCTTCATCTTGTAGGTAGTCCTCATACCAATCGTACAAGTCAGCCGGTGGTTGTGTATAACGTAAATACATAAAACCTATGAAAAATGAATCACTTTTTAGTCATAAAATACTTTTCAAAATTAAAGCATATCTTGCCATTAATTTACTGGCAGAGTTGCCTAGTTGGTGCTGTACGATTTCAAATTTTGGACAATTATTACTCGAAACGTTCATTCGACTTACCACTTACCTAGTGCGCGTATATAAGGCGAATCTGTATGGTTTAATAATCCATTAACTTGCTTGCGTGTTAATCTCAATGTATACAGCTTGTAAAGTAAACAGTACGCCGTCGATACAATCCCCCCAGCACCTACACCACGCACCTAAAAAAGAAATAAAAAAAATAGGCATAATTTAAAATACCACGATATCTTTTTATAAAAGCAGTTAACTTAATCAAATTACCAAACAATTAGAACATTTTTTCTAACCATGAATTTTATGCACACATTTTTTCTTCTTATCAAAACCATTTAATTTCATCATTTGGTAATATGAATAGGCTGACTTATTTCAAAACGAAATGCTACATTTCATAAACTCACTCCGCCACACATGCCGGTTTGTCCGGATGTTTTTCGAGAGCCGCGTTCCCATGGTTCCATGTGTTTGACTTGGTAATAAATCTCATCAACAACCTCATGGTAAGTCTTCAATTTAAACAAATGCACTAAAAATACAAAGAATTTAAACGCAAGCTCTTTATATATATTAATTTTTGAACATTTCCGGGTCGATTTACTATACCTTTGCGGACGTACCTTTAAAATAACTAGAACCTTGTATATTTGCAAGTATAAGTGGATTTAAATTCATGGAGGCCTCATTTCCCCACAGTGGTAGCGTATTATGTTGCTTTCCAACTTTTTTAGTTGAAGTCGCTGCAAAATTAGTAAAGTATGTTAAAATGTATGTAGAGACGCCGAATTTAGGTTAACTTTACACGCTACCTTACCTTCATCCATTTTGCGAAATTCACTATAAATCTTCCTTAATTTTCAGTCTATTATTTTTTCTAATTTATACCCATTCCAAACACCCACAAATGTTTAAATAAATTAAAATTTTTTCAAGTAATATCAAATCGCAGACAACGCGTCAAACATGTCATACTAAAAATGGCGAGGCTAGCTGTCGTTTTCTATTATATCGTATTTTTTTTCAACTATTCACAGTTGTATTCAACTGACCATTCACAATAATAAAAACTTACCAACATATTATTCCACGGTATTATACTACGATAAAATGATATATGAATCTCCATATATTTTACGATAAAAAAATAATATATGATATTTCAAACTCTATTTAATTATTAATGAAGATTCAACGGCAAACTCTTCTGCTATTTCTTATAAATTATTATAAACATTAAACAAACAAATATTTTAATACAAAATTTTGAAAAAATAAATACCTAATTGATAATTATTGTAAGTGCCTTTTGTGTATTGTCAACCGCTGAGAGACAGTAGAAATTTATAGTTGATAGACAAAACCGAATTTCACTACTGTAAATTGCAAAACACTAGAAATATTTTTATCAGGAATAGATAAATTTTTGTCACAGTTGACAAATGTAAATCACAGACTACTATAATAAAACATAAACTAGTACCACAAAAGAACACCTCACTTAAGTTATTCTAGAAATAACATATTTCAAATATATTCTACTTACAGTTTCTACACACTTAAAAATCCTTGCTTTGTGTTGCAATCGATCGGTGGTTATATATTGTTAAATCTGTTATATCGCCACATAAATTATTATTCTTACAATAACAATTTGTACAATTATTCTCATACATAAATTTTCAAAAATAGACCTTTTCGGTGGCTCGCAAGTCTGACAAAAAACAGCAGGTTACTGGCCTATACTGGCGAAAATGTACGTAAAACAACAATACTATTTTTTCTAGCAGTATACATAGGTATACTGGCCAAACACATCGGCCAGTAAAACATATGGCCAATGAAATAAATTCATTGGAAATTCCAATGAATATTGCAATCATATGTCAAAAATCAAATGTTAACAAAAATTCAAACAAAACTCAAAAATTTCATATATATAAAAATTGGAAATAAAGAAATATATAAGTGTTTTATTTTGAAATTTTCACCATTCTAACCATTCCTTTTAATTCTATATTCATTTGTTTGCATTATGGTATTTTTGTTATTTGCCAAACAAAACATTTGACAAATTGCAACAGTGATGCCAATATCTCCCGTAGCGAATATAGGCTACCATGCATTTCTTGCCATATTTGCGAGCCTCCGAAGAGGAGTAATATGGTGGGGCTGATTAAAATATTGGTTGTTATCAAAAAGGGCCATGTTATGATTGCAATCACGTCACACCATTGTTGTTGCTTTACAATGCTGTAGTATATCCGATCTTGGTAGCCCTGTATAAAGAAATAGGTGAAAAAGGTAAAATACGAAGTGCGTTGTTGTTTGTCGTTGTGGTCAAAGGAGTAAGCGTGCCATGCCGTATAAACTATTATTATTATTAATAAATTGTAAAATTTATATAACTTTAAATCAATAAAGTATATAACAAATTCAAAATGAAGTGAGCTGTTAATATTTATTTTGCATTGTAAAGCAACACGAATTGGGTGACGTGACGAATCATAACATGCCCCTAAAAAACTATCTAAAAACTAAATATATATATACGTTCATATTATGTTAAGTTCATTAAATATATATAATTTACTAATTACTTATGTTTCCATATTCTGACTCAGTTATTTTAATTTGCATTTTTAAAAATATGTTTAATATATGGTATTAAAACCTATATATAGCTTCAATATGTATGTATCTATAAGTAAATATTAGAACTATAACACACAAAAACATGTTTAAAAGAACGCTGAAGCTGTTTCAGAAACAGAGCTTTGAGCACTCCTAAAAAATTTGCAAAATTTACATCTTTACGATACCAGAGTTTAAATTTATCTATACGTGGCTTTTATATGTGTATTTAAAAGGCATAATATCGTTTGCTTGTGTGTTATCAATTATGTGAATTGAAAGTGTCCGCTGAGAAATTTTGAATTTTGCAAGCTAATGGCAACTCTAGAAAGGTAAATGAAACACTGATGCAATTATTAAATTGTCAAATTATTGATTATTGCGAAAAGAATTTAGGAACTTGTTAGGTTTGTTTAAACTATTTTTTGACAAAAATTTATAATCGCAAGCAAATACTGAAAGGCTTGTAGAATTCGATTAAAAGCAATACGATTTTTACTTTAACTCCTACGTAGTAATCGAATGTTGGCTTATGGAAAAATTATTGAATAAGTAAAAAAGTCCCAAATAAGCAACTTAATATAACTGTTAAAGTGGCGTATTTCAAATATTGCAGGTTGCTAAATTATGCAAATCTAGTTTGTTCCATTGTCTTATATATATGATATGTGCAGATGATGTTGAAGGGCAAGGCGTTCGTCAAAATATTGAGTAAGCTTCAACGAACCAAAACAAGGTATACCTCACAAGGTTTTAAACTGTTCAATCAGCTTTAACAAATCGCACCGTCACGTTTTCGTTTGCGGTTTAAGACGAGTACTGCACCATTTTCTTGTCACATGTATAGCACTACCGTTTCGGTACACAATAAAATGTCGAGTAGTTCATCTAGTGATGAAAGTGACTTGCAATACTTCGACCCGTTGGCTGAGGAGATGCGAAATATACAATCGGTGATACACGTTACTAGAGAAAATATTGATGCACTGAATGCTAAATTTGCGAACTTGCAAGAACCACCTGCAATGTATATAACTGAATATCAAGAACTTACATCTAAGCTGCACGAGCTGGAAGCGAAAGAGCAAGAGTTAATGGAACAGCTAAACGCACAACAGGAGGAACATAGCACAGCAGAGCAACAGCTCAAACTAAGTGACTGCAATAATCATCCACATTATCAAAATCAAATACAATTACAACAGACCTATCGCAATACCCAACAGCAATATGGGCATGCTACAAGTGATATGGTAGATAATGGCATAATTTTTATAAAATTAAAAAATTAATAAAAAAAATTTTTGTTTTCACTAGACGGATAGTTATATGTCAACAAACAGTAGCAGTCAATGTGGCACTCTAACTCGAATGCCAAAAGTATTATTACGTGCTCACTTACCTAATCAACAACGCACATCTGTAGAGGTTGTTCCTGGTGTACGTTTATGTGATGCTCTAATGAAAGCATTAAAGCTGAGACAATTGACTCCGGGAATGTGTGAAGTAACAACAAAAGATGGACGGCATATTATATCGTGGGATACAGATATAGGTTCATTGCAAGTGGAGGAGGTTTATGTTAGACTTTTAGAGTTTGTCCCTATTATGACACATATTTCGCATCAATTTGTGCGCAAGACTTTTTTCTCGTTAGCGTTCTGTGAAGGCTGTCGCCGTTTACTGTTTACCGGTTTTTATTGCAATCAATGTAATTTTCGGTTTCATCAGCGTTGTGCTGACAAGGTGCCAACACTTTGTCAGCAATTTCCAATGGACAATTACTATCAGTGTTTGTTAGCTCAAAATCCTGAAAGCACAGTCGGCATTCTACATCCAGGACGTGGTGGTGCGATTGGTTACCATGTATGTAACTTTTGTGTGTTATTTATTAATCTATAAATATTGATGGAAATAATTTTTAGGGGCGACATCCACGTACTATAAGCCAACAAGATCGCTCAAATTCAGCTCCTAATGTTTGTATTAATAATATACGTCCTTTAACGGATGCTCAGCGACAATTAGTACAAACGCATGGTCCTTTACAGGTAGGCACTAAAATTTTTGACTTCAATTTTGTTCTGCACCAGGGAATCATTCCTCTATATCCATTTGATATTTGGAAAACCTCAACAAGAGGCATTCATACCTTTATTCGAAAAGCTGAATATCTGTTAGTTATTTAAGTTTAGTTGATAGCAAAAAGTATTGCTCCGCCTTATTGGAAACCCAGAACATTTTTTAAGTTTATTTTAAATACACGATAAATTTAAAGTAATAAAGTAAATTATTAAATATTATCAGAATAGATTATATTATTATTTAATTGTTACGCATATATATCTTTATTCGTTACATCGTTTTTATAATTGACAAAGTTTGAAAAAATCTACTTAAATCAATATCATATATTTTATCAGATCATATTAAACCCTGAATTTCTTACTTTACATTACCTTGTATGTAGCAACCATGTAATGATCATTCTAACTCAACTCAGGCATCTCCGACGAGTACTTTAAAGCATGTGAAAAGACAACGAGCGCGTTCCGCAGATGAAAGCAATAAAAATCTATTATCTCCACGTGATGCGAAAGGATCTGAAGAGAATTGGGTATGTTCTAATAAATAATTGATATTTATATTTGTGCTCTTGTCAAATTATAATATTTTTTTATATATTTTATAACACACAAGAATATACAAGCAGAAGAGATACTAATTGGACCACGTATCGGTTCGGGTTCTTTTGGAACTGTATATAAAGCACATTGGCACGGACCAGTTGCAGTTAAGACGTTAAACGTAAAAACACCAAGTCCCGCCCAACTACAAGCATTTAAGAATGAAGTAGCCATGTTAAAAAAGACTAGACATTGCAATATTTTGCTTTTTATGGGTTGTGTGTCAAAGCCTTCTTTAGCTATTGTAACACAATGGTGTGAAGGTAGTTCCCTTTATAAACACATACATGTTAATGAAACAAAATTCAAACTGAATACATTGATCGATATTGGACGTCAAGTTGCACAGGGCATGGACTACTTGCATGCGAAAAATATTATACATAGGTATATATGGTTAATAAATATATATGAATAAATATTAATAATAAATTTTCATTATTCAGAGACCTGAAATCAAATAATATATTTTTACATGAAGATCTTTCTGTAAAAATAGGCGATTTTGGTCTGGCAACTGCGAAGACTCGTTGGTCCGGTGAGAAACAAGCTAATCAACCCACTGGCAGTATACTTTGGATGGCACCAGAAGTAATACGTATGCAAGAGCTGAATCCATACTCCTTTCAATCCGATGTTTATGCATTTGGTATTGCTATGTATGAATTATTGGCAGAATGTTTGCCATACAGTCACATCAATAATAAGGATCAAATTTTATTTATGGTTGGACGTGGTCTTCTGCGTCCAGATATGTCTCAGGTACGATCCGATGCACCACAAGCACTGAAACGCTTAGCCGAAGACTGCATAAGATTCGATCGCAACGACAGACCATTGTTTCGACCATTACTAAATATGTTGGAGAATATGCTGCGCACTTTACCTAAAATACATCGTAGTGCCAGCGAACCAAATTTGACACAATTGCAAAATGATGACTTTCTCTATTTATGTCCAAGTCCTAAGACACCAGTTAATTTCAACAATTTTCAGTTTTACAATAGTGCTGGTAATATCTAGCGCGACTAATTAGCTACGAATGTGATAATCCTAAAAGTTTTATTGAAAGTTAAAAAAAGAGTAAAAATTTAATCAAACATTTTTTGAAGCCTATGTTTTTTTGTTTGGATTTAAATATTTAAAACTATAAGATCAATAATATAAAATATAGAAGTTGAAACTCAAGAAAGCAGCTATAAAAGACTTTATGCATGTAAATAATGTAATTCCTTTTTATTTGAACACTAATAGTCTATAGAACTATTGCTGTATTATGTGGCCAATAACGTTTTAAATGTATTTAATGGACTTTTTTATGGACTTAATCAAGTTGACAGCATGTGCATATTACTTAACTAACATTTATATTCTAGTTTTAATACTTAAATCATACAAATTATACGACAACAGTTGTTAACTGATATATTTATTTATTTTAATCTTAATTTATTTATACGATAAACTATCATAGAGACGCCTTAAGAAATTGATTAATTTTGTTAACTTTGTAAAACTAATTTTAATGAAACGTTGTAAAGCCATGAGTGCAGTAACTAAAACTTAATTTAATAATGCAAACAGAACTAAAACCTAATATATTTGCAATTAATGTACAACAAAAATACTAAAACAGCAAAATAAAACTAAAACTATTGTAAATTAGAAACAAAAATAATTTAATTCCAAACAGATAGTTTTAATGAATTTAAATCAGTTCTAGTGAGAGACATTATCTCGGTTTAAGAATTAGATTCCCGACACACAGTTCGTAAAAATTATGTACGAACAATTAAACTAATAGTCGTCTACAAAAACACCTGATGATGTATGTATGGAAGTCCTCCAACTG